TCGCCTCTCCTTCTGGAGTTGGATCCCAGGTTCTTCTTGTTTCAAACACAGAACTGAATGAAACAAGCAAAAAGCAGTTGCAAGGTTTATTTGAAAAAAAAAAAAATTATTTGAAAAAGTGAAAATGAAGAGGGAGGGAGAAACTGGCTCTGCAGAGTGAGCCTGGGCCAAGTAAGGGAGGAAAAGCAAGATAAAAGCACACCCTGGAGGACACAGGGCAGTATGCTGAGGAATACCACATAGCCTATCCGCTATGATCCTGCTGAGCCCCTCATTGATGTTTTTTAGTCTCCTCTGCTATCTTTTCAAATAATTTGGGTATTTGACTTTTGCTTTCCTCTTCCTTAACACTCCCAGGATCATCTTTGGGGGAGTTGGGAGTTTCTCAAGGCAGTCTGTTGCCTTGTCTTCTTACAGTGTATTTCTACTGTTTGTACCAGGACTCGAACTCAGGACCTTACGCTTGCCAGGCAGGTGCTGTGCCGCTGAGGATATATCCCCAGCTCTTCTACTGTTTTTTGTTCCATTTGTTTTGTGCTTAGGTTTATGGGCAATTATAGTGGAAAGACTCTTGCTAGTATGCAGATCTCTTCAGTCTGCTTTTCAGGAAGGCACACTGCGTATGGCTAACCATAGTCCTTTGCCTTTATCCAACCACCTCTATTCATTTGGGAGGGGAGGATAGACTGCAACTGGTCCAACACCCAGTTCTCCAGGAATAGACTATTGCTAATTAAAGTATTATTAATCTCAAAGGTAATCTAGGCGTTGGCATAGAGAAAACCGTTTAATAGCAATAATTATGCAACCCTGAGAATATCAAGCAAATCAGCAATAATATCATCCAAAGGCAGGTGCAGTGGCTCATGCCTGTAATTCCAGCACTTGGAGGCTGAGGAAAGAGGATCATTACGAGTTCGAGACCAACCTGGGTTTCAAAGTGAGCTCAAGGCCAGCCTGAACTGCATAGCGAGACCCTGTCTCAAACACACACACACACACACACACACACACACACACACACACACACACAAAATCCAATAATGTACTGACCTTAACTATAGAAAGAAATCCATAAGTACAAAAATTTCACAATTGTAGTACAAACACAAGACAGCTCAATTTTTGTTTTTTTTTTTTTTGAGACAGGGTCTTGCTTTGCATTGCAGGCTGGCCTTGAACTTACTACGTAGCCCAAGCTGGCCTCAAACTCATGGTGATCTTTCTGCCTCAGCCCCCTGAGTACTGGGATTAAAGTTATATGCCATCATACCCAGCCCAAAACAATCTAGATATTGACAGAGAGCAAATATGTACTAAATGCAAAACTATCTGGCATGGTGGTACATGCCTATAATCTTAGCACTTGGGAGGCTGAGGCAGGAGGACTGTTGCAAGATCGAGACCAGCTTGGGCTACAAAGTGAGCTCAAAGCCAGCCTAAACTGCACAGTGAGACCCTGTGTCAAAAAGACAAAAATATTAATAAATATTAATAGTTACACTATTAAAGACATAAGGGGTTGGAAATAGAAGAATGCAAGAAGAAAAATTTGAAAAATTAAATAATGGTAGATGAGGGAGGATCAAAAAGTGACACAAAGGATCTTTTTTTTGTTTTGTTTTTTTGAGACAGGGTCTCACCATGCAGTTCAGGCTGGCCTTGAGCTCACTTTGTAGCCCAGGCTGGTCTCAAACTCTCAGTGATCCTCCTGCCTCAGCTTCCTGAGTGCTGGGATTACAGGCGTGCACCACCATGCCCGGTGACACAAAGGATCTCATTAAGGAGTAGAAGGATGTTTACAGAATTAGGTAAAGGTAACAGAAGAAAACAAAGGAGAAATGGAAGATAAAAAAGGGATGAAAGAAGAAAAAGAATATAAAGGATGAAAGTAAGGAAAAAAAGGCAGAAGGAGAAAGGAAAATGCCGCAGGCTCCAGTACGTTAGTGAAGAGGAAAGAGAAAGGGAAATAAAAGGAGTAGGAAAACAGAAAGAAACTTCTCCGTACTTCTGAAGGAGTGGATTTTGTCCTGGATCCAGAGTTTTGGCATCCAGCAGTTCAGTTTTCTCGTGGCCTGTGGGTCTGTGAGGTGCCTCCTCCCTTCAGAGGCCCCTCTATCAATGTGGCACCAGCAGCGGCATCCCCACCGCACCAGCAGATGGGAAGGCAGTCAGACCCCAAGTCGGTGCTGGGGGGAGGCAGTAGGGCTCAAGCACGCAGTGCTGGCACTTTCAGACGCTGCGCAACTCAAGCTAGTCCTGGACTCCCGCTGCAGAGGTCAGGGCTCATCTCCTTCCTGGCTGAGCTCAACTCCGTTGGGGGTCTCTTTCCAGCCTGCTCCCTGTCCGCAGCTGTCTCTCACGCTGTCAGTGTAGGAGGGCAACACAGGGGACCCTGAAGTGAAGCAGTTGTGCCCCCCCCCCCCGATCAATTTTCAAACAACCAACCCTTTCCTGGAATGGTGCCCAACCAAGCACTCTCTGGCAACATGCTGGGCACGGTGCTGGGACCCCATCTGGCTTCTTTCCTCCCTGGGTGGAGGAAATCCCCCTGGAGTAAAACCCTGCACTGTTCCTGCAGATCACCACCCCCTGGAGCCTGCATGGGCAACCCCGTCCACACCCCCGTTTCTCCCGTAGACCCCAGCACCCACCTTGATTCTGCAGAGCTGGGCTCCCCTCCTGATGGGCTGTGAGCCAGGGACAGTGTGCAGACTGTTTTGTTGCCTTCTCTGTGGTGTGGTCTGTCTTTCAAACTTCTCTGTAGCTTTTAATTTTCCTATCAGCTCCTTCCCGATTCCTGGCAATCTACTTCTCTTTTTTTCTTCCCGAAATTGTTATTTTCGTGTCTCTAGATTATTTTTCTTCACCAAGAAAGCCTGGATTATAATGAGTCAACTCCAAGATTCATTTGAAGAGGTGTAGTTATCCATCTAAATTCCTGTCATAAAAATAAATTTTCTCGAGAAGCTGAGGCAGGAGGATCGTCGAAAGTTTAAGGCCAGCCTGGGCTGAATAGTCAGTTCAGGGGCAGCCTGAACTGTACAGAGACACCCTGTCTCAAAAACCCCCTCAAAAAAAAAAAAAAAAAAAAAAAAAAATTGAAGACCTGGCATAGTGGCATGTGCCTATAATCCCAGCACTTGAGGGGCTGAGGCAGGAGGATCACTGAGTTTGAGGACAGTCTGCACTGCATAGACAGACCCTGTCTCACTTAATCAATCAATATGTTTAAAAAATAAAAAATAAGAAGGGTTGGGGTAGAGTTGTCAGGAGTAGAGTGCCCCTAGGTAAATACCCATTACTGCAAAAATAAATAACAAAAGAATTGTGGGCTGGAGATGTAGTGCAGTAGCAGAACATTTGCCTATGGTAGGTAAAGCCAGCTGGGCATGGTGGCGCACCCTTGCAATCCCAGCACTCAGGAAGCTGAAGCAGGAGGATCTTTGTGTGTTTGAGGCCAGCCAGGGCTACAAAGTGAGCTCAAGGCCAGCCTGAACTAATAGTGAGACCCTATCTCAAAAAGACAAAAAACAAACAAATACAGGTAATGTCATAGTTAAATCCCCAGCACTACACACAACACTCACAAAAACCAAACAAACTATATGTCAGCAATAAATGATTTTGGAGTATAACTCCATCATAGGCATATATATATATTTGGGGGGGCGGGTACAGGAATCAATCTCAGGACCTTGTGCTTGCCAAGCAGGCACTTGTGCCACTGAGCTATATCCCCAGCCACGCCTGTATTTTTGGATGTAAATGACAGATCTATCTTAGAAGCAGAAGTCACGAAATAATATAGACCCCTTTTCCTGAAAAATTTTAAAAGAAAAAAAACAGGCCAAGGAGGTAGCTGAGTGGTACCTAGCATGTGTGAGTCCCTAGGTTCAATCCCCAGCACAAAGGAGAGGGAGAGGGAGGGAGAGAGAAATTGTTTCTCAGATATTCCTGTACTTTTAAATTTTATTTTGGGGTACTAGAGATTGAACCAGGGCCTTTGTACTGAACTATATCCTAGGCCATTTTATTTTTCATAACAAAGACAGGGATTTTGAGACAGGGACTCACTAAATTGTTCAGGCTGGCCTCAAACTCGTGAGCCTCCTGCCTCATCCTCCCCAATAGCTAGGATTATAAGCAAGCACCACTGTATCCAGTTTAGACCATGTTTCTTTTTTTTTGTAGTGGGAATCGAACTCAGGATCTTGTGCTTGCTAGGCAGGCGCTTGTGCTGCTGAGCTATATCCCCAGCTAGACCATCTTGTTTTAATAACATTTTCTTTTTTCTGGTGGTAGAGACTGACCCCAGGCCAGAGCTCAAGCATGCTAAGCATGTGTTACACTGTTGAACTATATCCTCACACCACCCCCGCCTTTTTTTTGAGACAGGGTCTTGCTAAGTCATGAAATTCCCCAAGCTGGGCTTGAATTTGTTTTGTTTTGTTTTGTTTTCAGTACCAGGAATTGAATTCAGGACCTTGTGCTTGCCAGTCAGATGCTTGTGCCACTGAGCTATGTTCCCGGCCCTAGGCTTGAACTTGTGATCCTCCCACCTCAGCCTCTCATCATACAGCTCTGTTAAGCTTGTGGCAGTGGCCAGGCATGGTGGTGCACGCCTGTAATCCCAGCACTTGGGAGGCTGAGGCAGGAGGATCATTTTAAGTTTGAGACCAGCCTGGGCTACAAAGTGAGCTCAAGGCCAGCCTGAACTGCAGAGTGAGACCCTGCCTCAGAAAAACAAAAAACAAACAAACAAAAAAAGCTTGTGGCAGGATAAAGAAAGACAGGAGCAAGGAACAGGAGAAATATTCCAACTCTCCCTTCAAGGACTGATCTCTCCTGCTGTATCATCTTCTTTTGAGGAAGGACGGGAATATATATGTATTTCTTTTTCCCCTTGGCCTCACTTCCTACACTAACCCTCCCTGTGACTCACTCCTACTAAACTCTTACTGTCTAAATACTCCCCCATCTCTTTCTTTCTCTACCAGGAAACGGAGCCCAATTACCAAGTCTTGATGCGCATCCTTATCTCTCGATGTGAGATCGACCTTCTAAGCATCCGGGCTGAGTTCAAGAAGAAATTCGGGAAGTCGCTCTATTCTTCTCTCCAGGTGAGACTTGGCCAGTCCTCAGCCTGGAGCTCCAGAGCTTTACCCCTTGCCTCTGCCCAGGGTCCCTGCCCACCTGCTCACTGCTGAGCATGCGCTGGGCCTGTGAGGAGCGTTCGTTTGGTTAACTGAGCTGAGCTCTGAGCTCTGAGCTTCGCGCACCAGGGAGGACCCTGCCCTTGGATGGACCCGTGCGAGGGAGGAGTCAGAATTCTGGAGCCTGGCGCTGTGGGTCTGACTCAACCTGACTCCCGTCTGCAGGATGCAGTGACAGGAGACTGCCGGCAGGCCCTGCTAGCCCTGTGCAGAGCTGAAGACCTCTGAGACCTCCCTGCCTTCCACCTCACGCGACACTTAAGCTGAGTCCCTGTGTGGCTGAGCCTGCAAGGGACCAGTGCAGACTCTGCATAGGATAACCCCGCACGGAGCACCACCTGCCCCAGCTCCTCGTTGAGGCTGGGACTCTGCATGTCTTTTAGATTCCTTAATAACCCTCATCTCAAAACGATGTCTGTACCTGAGACTTCTTGCTCCATCTTGGGTGTGTGGTCACGGGACATCTTTGAAAGTTTCTGTCCTGCTTGTCCTCAGACACTGGCCAGAACCTCCCTGGTACTTGAATTCAGTTGGCAAAGCCCACTGCTGTTGTTTGTGTTCCCTAGTTTGAAGTTTGGGTGGAACAGGACGTGGACCAGGAAGAGGCCTTTGACCTGGTGCACCTCGGATGAGCACTGAACTGTTCAACAGGAACCCTGTTTTTGCCCAGTGCTACAACAGCCAACACACTCTGCCCCGGGCACTCCCCTCGTCTTTCCCCAGGAAATTTCAGACAAAGTAACTGAACAGCTATCAGAACAAGGTCAGAAATGGTCAGAGGGAGCAAAAGACCATCTGTTTGAACTGGGAAGATAGTAGAGTGTCAAACTACCCTCTCCAACCTGGGAAATCTTGGTAACTTGCCCAATTCATCTGTTCACGAAGTGGGCTGGGGATTTAGCTCAGCGGCACAGCGCCTGCCTGGCAAGCGCAAAGTCGTGAGTTCAATTCCCGGTACAGGAAAGAAAACAACTACAAAAAAGACATCTGTCCACGAAGGATGTGGAGACCCACCTCTCTCTGGGGCAGAATTTACCAAAGAACATCTATGAAAAACATAAAGGAAGTGGGCATGGTGATGCATGCCTGTAATACCAGCATTTGGGAGGATGAGGCAGGAGTTCAAGGCCACCTTGGACTATGTAGCAAGACCCTGTCTCAAAAAACAAAACAAAACAAAACTATAAACAAGGGCAATGTGGTTCCCCATGGTGGTTTGATTAGAAATGACAGGCAAGGGATTTAGCTTAGGGGCAAAGCGCCTGCCTGGCAAGCACAAGGTCGTGAGTTTGATTCCTGGTACCAAAAGAAAAACGAAAAACACAACAAAAAAAACCAACAAAATCAGAAATGACAGGCAGCCTTCTGCCTCTCCCCACCTCCCCCTTTCTGCATTCCTCAATGGTCAAATACCTAACCCCACTGCTACAGGGAAAAGCAAACAACAGATCTCAGGAAAGAAGTTTTATTTCCAAACCTTAGGCAGGTATTACAAATAACAGATAGAAACCCAAATCAAACCCTGAAACAAATGGAAAGAGACCTGCAGTAGCCAGGAGCCCCCAGGCAGTCTGAGACAGGAAGCAGGAGAGATCTGCATTCCAGAGAGGGACCTCACCCTGGAGCCTGAGTTTGTGTATTCAAGAGACTATTCTGGGGAAGGGAAGGAGACCAGAAATCTTCACCCCACCCATCCCTGGGTGGGAGGAAGAGAAGGCAGCAGCAATGAGGGCAAGGATGTTGCTGAGTCTGTCCTTGCCGGCCCTGACCCCCAACAGTCCATAAATAAGTTACCCTGTGTATCTCAGGGGCGGAGGTGGGGAAGCAAACAAACCAACAACAGCCTCTGAAGAAGGGGCAGCGCTACAGCAGAACACAGTCTGACTGGTGCTTTGGCCTCGGCCGCCGCTCCCCAGCTGGCCGTCCAGATGCGGCTCCTCTTCCCTGTATGGGATTTAACAACTGGTCATGCAGCACCTTTGCAAGGGCACAATGTTCTAGAAGAGGGTCAGGATCAGGGGCAGCAGGGAAAGAAAGACAGGAAGGGGTGCCAGGGAAAAGGTAGGCAGGAGAAAGGCCTGCAGAGGGAGGGGTGTGGGGACTCACCTGGGGCAGTGGGGCCCGCGTCTGCACGGGCTGGACTGCTTGCTGCTGTTGATACTCCTCTTGCTGAAGTTGCTGGGCCAGCTCCAGGTCAGTCAGGCCCAGCGTGCCTTGGGGCTGCTGCTGCTGCAGGGACAAGGCAATTAGGTAGTCCTGGAAAGAAGAAGAGTTAAAGGTGGGCAACACCTGTAATTCCAGCACTTGGGAGGCTGAGGCAGGAGGATCCCCACAAGTCTGAGGCCAGCCTGAGCTACATAGTGAGACTTTATCTCCAAACAAAACAAAACAAAACAAAACAAAACAAAAAACCTCCAAAGAGTTACAAGGCGATATGAACAGGGCCTGGTTAGACTGAGATTTAGGCTAGGTTTCCAAACCACAGTTTCTTTCAAATTCTCCAGTTTCTTCTCCTTTCCCCCTCAGAACAAAACACAGAGCCAATGTGTTCTCTGTGGTGCCAGAAGGATATACACCAAGTGAGGAGATGGTCCACAGGGAATGGAGAGGGAAGCAGCATGGGTGTTACACGTCATGGGCCCCTGATGATAAAACGCATGCAGTTCGCTTACGGCCCAAAGCTCTGAGGCCAGTGAGACCTCTGCACCTTTCCTGAAGGCCACACACACCTGGTCTACCTGCAGCTGCTTTTCCGGGGAGCCGTCCCCACCTTCTGCTCCAGGCGCCTTGCCCAGGGCATGGCTGAGGTGGAAGTCAGAGTCACAGAAGCAGCTGTCCCCATCCACATTTTGCAGGCTCTCCCATACCACTTGCTCCTCTTGGAGAAAACCCTGGTCTGTGACCAGTAGGTACAAGTGACTCTGCAAAGAACAGACGGAGCCCATTGGTGGGATGGGTGACACAAGGGCAGCTGACTGCCCTCGATCACCTGAGACCTTTGAACCAACTGGCGTGGTGGCCGAACACATGCCCTTTTGTAAATGTGTCTGGCCGGGGAGAGAAGGGGGCTATCGCAGCGCAGGGCCAGGGACAGTGTGGTGTTATTTTGGTTGAGTGTAGGGTCCGCAGGGCTGAGGTGCCACCCAAGAGCCTACTTCTACCCCACTCCCCCTGGTTCTCCGGGCTCATTGATGGCAATGAGGCCAAACCCTTGAGAGCCAGAGGCATTTCCCTCCTCTATGAGTTCCTAGAGAGCTTTGGCCATTTCTAACTCTGAAAGACTATAATGCTCTTCAGAAGTTCCCCTTCTTCTTTCTGGGAGAGGGTTCTCCCTTCCTGTCCTGCTGATGGCAGGCTTATCCTGTATGGTTTGCCGTGGCCACTGCAGTGTGAGCAGAAATAACAGGTGTCATTTCCAGGCAGAAGCACTAAGAGTAAACACAGAGTGACCGGCTTTCTCTCCCATGTCTCCCAGATAAAGGCTCTTTGTCAGCTTGAGTCCCAGCAGGAAGATGGTGTGGGACAGAATGTCACCCATCTGCAGTGGCATGCAGCATGAATGAGAAATAAACATTTGTCATGGGAAACCAAAGGATTTTAAGGTCAGTTGTACCCACAGGTTAACCTGCCTTATCCTGGCTAAGACACTGACCCAGGAAAAAAAGGTATAGGGAAATGACAGCATTCCAGCCCCCCACTTCCGAATCCTCATCACCTTGTGCTTAGTCATAGTGCTAAAGTGGTTGTTCCGGAAAAAGACGCTAAGTTCATCCTCCTTGGCAGCTGCAGTAAGCTCGCAAAGGCCGTGATAGGTCAGCTGTGCCGCAGTGGTCTCCAGGAACTGCTCTGCAATCAGGCCTGTCAGAAGGCATGAGACAGGGAACTTGGCTTCAATCCAAAAGCCCATGATGGGCCTGGCATGGTGGCACATGCCTGTAATCCTAGCACTTGGGAGGCTGAGACAGGAGGATCACTGCAAGTTCAAGGCCAGCCTGGGCTACATAGGGAACTCAAGGCTAGCCTGAATTATGCAGTGAGATCTTCCTTGTCTCAAATAAATAAATAAAGCCCATGATGCAATGGGAAAAAAAGAGGAGTGTGGCTCAGGGTAAAGCATCTGCCTCACATGCATGAGGCCTTGGATTTGACCCATAGCACCATCAGAAACAAACAAAATCCAGGATGGTACCATCCCCAAATCTCCTATCAAAAGCCCTCCTGAGTTCCACGTGAAATCCCTTTGCTGGGCTATGGATGTACCACAGGGGCAGGGCACGTGGCTAGTGCACTCAGGGCTTGGATCTAGTGCGTGCAGGACAAGTGGGATGGGTGGGAGATGACAGACAGTGCACCATGAACCCAAGCAGCCACCCTTCCCATCATGTGAGACCATGGGGGCCGAGGGATCTCACCTTCTGTCACAAGGTTGGGGTCACTGGAGTGTTTGCAGGTGATGATCTTCTCTACCAGCTGGTTATAACTCAGTTTCCCAACTGCACTCACAGCCTCAGGACTCTTCAGGGGGTGAAAGTGTGTGGGACCAAAACAAAATCTGAGTCTTTTTTGTTTTGTTTTTTAAGGAAGGAAATGAACCAAGCCCACAAGGACTGCAGCCTTATGATCAAAGGTCCCTGAATTTTTGATGTCTAAAGAACAGATTCTATTTGCATGTAATTTGATATATTGGAAGCCAGTCTCAAAAAAGGTTAAAAGTCAAGAAATTCTGCAGTAGGTCTGGTCTCCAAACCTCTTTCCTCCCAGCCAGTCTACCTCCTAGCTCCCTAACCCCACCTCACCAAAGTGTGCCTCACTCACAGCCCAAGCTGTAGAAGTCTCCCCAGAGCCTCCCCTCACCTGAGGATCCACAAGCCAGCCGTGATACAGAGGGATCCCCAGGAGGTCAAAGACGCTGCACTCGGGCGTGTACTCGAAGTCTGAGACGCCCGTGAACCGCACGTTCACGTCCAGGCCTGTGGCCAGCTTAGGCAGCACTGTCATTGCGTCATCCACATTCTGGAGGCAGAAAAGAAAACGATGGCCCAGGCTCCTCTCCCTATGCATTCCACTCCCACCCCCTGAAAGTAAAAAAAAAAATAACACTGATCCTGTTTCTTTTGTTCCTTAGCTCTCTTATAAGCCATTCCATTCCTCTTTTATATCCCTAGACCTTTTTAAAAATTTTTTTTTGTCTTTTTGAGGCAGGGTCTCACTATGCAGTTCAGGCTGGACTTGCATTCACTTTGTAGCCCAGGGTGGTCTCGAACTCGCAATAATCCTCCTGCCTCAGCCTCCCAAGTGCTGGGATTACAGGCGTGTACCACCACATCTGGCAAAATTTTTTATATTTAAATTTTATTTATTTATTGGTTTTTTGAGATAGGGTCTCACTATGTAGTCCAGGCTGGCCTCAAACTCATGGTAATCCTCCTGCCTCAGCTTCCCTAGTACTGAGATTACAGGTGTGTGCCACCACATGCAGTTTCTAGGCTGAGTTTGAACTTGCATTCCTCCTATTTCAGCCTCCCAGAATGCTGGGAGTATAGGCATGCACCACCATGCCCAGCTCTCAGGACCAAAAATATATCATCTTCTGCTGTTCCTGTAAAAGTTATAATTCAAGCATCCTTACTCAAAAGGAGCAAAAGGCTTCTCTCCGGGGTCCCAGTGTCCTCTTACAAGCCAGCAAACCCATTTGTGCGCAGAGCACTGGCCTCACCTGTTGAAAGTTAAGCTGAAGTCCTTCTGACTTCTCCTGGGGCTTGATAGACAGGAGGCAGTCTCCTATAAGACAGGATCCCTTGTCAGCCTACTCTACCCATAGCCCCAAAGCTCGGTCTCTTCTGGAAAGTGACAATAATGTCATGGCACCACATATTTTCAGAGCTGGAGTGGCCCTCAGAAACTGATCCAGACCCCTTGGAAATAGGTTTACAAAGGTGAAGGGCCCACCCAAGGTCACATAGGGAAGCTAAGGGCAGAGGATAGGGGTATAGCTCACTGGTAGAGGACTTGCCTAGCATGCTCAAGGCCAAGGTTTGGCCCCAAGCACAGAAAAAACAAACAAGTAAACAACAAAAACGAGCTCAGCGGCACAGTGCCTGGCAATTGTAAGGTTCTGAGTTCAATTCCCAGTACCAAAAAACTAAACTAAACTAAAACCCAGGATTCCTGACACCTTGATCTTTTCTTTCTACCTTGACCTTTGCTTTTCATTGTCCAGCCTTGCAGAGATGCCCCAAAAACCCTTACCCTCCCAGCCATGCCATGGCCCCAAATGGGGATCCCTCCATAGCCTGGGTTTCTGGCTGAGTGGATAGCTCTGGGAGCCCCAGGGGCAACTCCTCTTCAGGGCCCAGTCTCTCACCAAGGTGGGCCATGAGCTCGTCTGACGTGATCACTTCCTTCTGGGGAGGCAGCTTCACCTGGAAGTAGAAAGCGTGAGCAGGTGGGCCTCCCTCCCAGAGTACCACAGAAGAACCCACGGGAAGCCAGGCGGGGGTGAACTACTGCAAGGCATTCCCTGGTGTTAGAGAACAGCAGAGACAGGAGTAGGACGGAGAACAACCTGGAAAGTTCTGACTGGTCTGAGAAAAGATCCAGGTGGTGGCTGGAAAAGGAGAACTCCCAGCATCTCCCCAGGCCTGTCTGAAGGCCCTCTTACCTTCCACTGAAGAAAGAGGGTGTTCATGATGGCGAGCAGAGGGCACGGGCCGTTAGCGCTCTGTGTGATGACGGGCGTCCGCTCTCCCTTCCAGGGGATCCACTTCACGCAGTAGAAGTCCGGCTCAGGCTGCCGGGCCCTGGGGGACTGGGGGAGCTCCTGGGGCCTGGAGCAGGCCCCAATCGCCTCTGTTTTGGGCAACTTCCCGCAGGCTGGCCCAGGTGGACGCGCGTGGGCTTCAGGTGGGGGGCACTCGAGGTTCTCCCCGCCCTGGGCAGGGAGTGGAGTTTGGTCTCCTGGCTCCGGCTCTCTTTGGTCTCCCTGCTCTCTCTCCCCATTGCCATCCTCGGCATCTGCGTTCTGAGGCTGCTCCTCAGATCCCAAGGGGACTTCGTGGTTTTCCCAGGTGACTGCTTCTGCACTTCTGGCCTTATCAGGGCCCAGGTGCTCAGACTGAACATGTGCCATGGTGGGAAAGAGTCAACTAAGGGTTCCTGACGGTGTTTCCTGACCTGGGACTTTGCCTAGGCCAGTCCTGGTGTACAAAGGCCAGCCCTACCCACCAAGATCATTGGGTCGCAAAGCAGAGACCTGGAAAAGGCTTGGAAAGTGGACGTAGTTCAGAAGCTGGCTCGGTCTACACAGTCACTCCTAGCTTGGAACAGCACCTGACTTTCCCTGCTGTGTACACAGAAGGACTCGGACTGAGCTCTCCACCACTAACTTGCTGTGACCAGATGGGGTCGGCGCAGGCTGGGCTTGCAGGCTTAACAGGGAGGACTCTGGGCGGGGCGTTGAGTGCTTTGAGTGGACTCAGCTTCCCTGAAACACATAATGACAGAGAATGAGGGAAGGACCGAGTGATAGAGGACCTCCAAATGATACAGGGAATGATTACAACTTCCACCCTGCTAGATGTCCCATATGTCGAGTTTGTGTTCCCCAAAATTGAAGAATGAATTCTGAGGAACACCAGAGTTAAGAATAGGAAATTTTATTGAAGGAGAGACAGCTCCCGAGAGATAAGAGGGGATCCAGAAAGTGGGTTGCCCACAAGCCCGCTTCTCAAAGCAAGTTTTGTAGAACAGAATCACAAGATGGGTACAAAACCATGAAGTGGGGTACAAGGTAGGACAAAACTATGGGCAACCAATAAGATCACAAGTACAGTCACTTAGGTAATTTTGATCCAATGGAGAAGCAAGTCATGTAGCAAGTGTGCATGGAAAGAACGGGACGATTTTGGGAAGAGATGAGTCAGGAGGTCCCGATGCCCATTTAGAATATCAATCATTGCTGGGCGTGGTGGCACACGTCTGTAATCCCAGCACACGGGAGGCTGAGGCAGGAGGATCACTGTGAGTTCGAGGCCCACCTGGACTATAAAGTGAGCTCAAGGCCAGCCTGAGCTGCATAGTGAAACCCTGTCTCAAAAAGGCAAAAATATATATATATATATATCAATCACACATTACGTAGGTGTAGTCACTTCATCTTTGTCCCGAGGCCTGGCCTTCAGTGAATGCGCCTCCACCCACACTTGTAAGCTCTTGTCTTCTGCATTGACTCCTTCAAGGGCCTGGGCCTGTCGGACTGCCCGTAATATCTCTACCTAACTTAGCTGTCTATAATAAGAGGAGGGGAAAGGAGAAAGGAGAAAGAGGAAAAGAACAGAAATGAAGAAAGAGCTGGGCATGGTAATACACACCTGTAATCCCAGCACTCAGGAGGCTGAGACAGAATTGCTGTGAGTTCAAGGCCAGCCTGGACTACATAGCATGACCCTGTCTCAAAAAAAAAAAAGAGAGAAATGGAGAAAAAAGGTTAAGCTATTCATGGTAACACAGGCCTCAGCTATGTGAGAGGCTAAATCAGGAAGATCAAAAGTTCATGTCCATCCTGGGTAACTTCAGGTAGCTTAGTGAGGAGCCTTGTCACAAAAAGAGGGGGCTGGGATGTTCACTGGTAGAGCAACTTGCCTAACCCACTCGGCAGCCGGCAGCCCGCAGCCGGGAGGGTTAATTCCTCTGCCTTTCACAGAACTCCACAACACACACAGGGCCCCTGAGGGCGCCCCTGCTTGCCTCACCTCAAGGCTGAAAAGGTTCACAATCACATAGTGCTTGGGGTGGAGTGGAGATGCAGGGCAGAACCGAGCTGCTCCTGGTGACACCCTGGTGAGGAAAGGGAGGGCTCTACGGAACCTTACACAATCCCAACCGCAGCAAGGTCCTGGGAGGAGCTTCCTGTAGGCTAGAGAAAGGTAGGTTACAAAGACTTGAGTTGGAGGGTGGGTCTGGTAAATAACTTCAGGTTGGGGGGCATAAAAAGCATTCCCCTCAAGTCTTCCAGCAAACTTCTCGGTCTCCTTTTTTTTGAGATATGGTCTTGCTAGGTAGCCCAGGCTGGTCTAGAACTCAAAGCAATCCTCTTGCCTCAGCCTCCTGAGTGCTGGCATTACAGACATGTGTCACCACCCTGCTCCAGGGAGCTTCTCTTGACAGCTGGAGTTGAGACAGTTCCTCTTTTATCCCAAATTGCATAAGCCCAGAAATACTCCCCCCTCCCCCTCCTCCTTATCAGTTAGTTGTAAACTCCACTGCACTCGGACCAGTGGAGTGGTCCTCTTTTTTTTTTTTTTGAGACAGGATCTTGCTCTGTAGCCTAGGCAGGCCTCAAACTGGCAGCAATCCTCTTGCCTCAGCCTCTAGAGTGCTGGGATTACAGGCGCGTGCCATCACACCAGGTCAGAAATGCTCTCTTGTCAATTATTTATATGGGATATAAAAATGCTAATTACTGGTTTACATAAAAAAAAAATATTCCCTCAGCCGGGTGTGGTACACATGCCTGCAGTCTCAGCACTTGGGAGACTTGAGGTAGGAAGACAGTGAGTTCAAGGTCAGTCTGAGCAGCAAGATCCTTTCTCAAAAAGAAAGAAACTAATCTTGTCTTTTCTCCAGCTTCCTCTTCACCTGAGATAACGCTGTCTTCTTACAACTTGCAATAATTTGGACAGGGCAAGGTGGAGCACACCTGTAATCCCAGCACTTCAGAGGCTGAGGCAGGAGGATTGCTTTGAGTTTCAGGCCAGCCTGGGCTACGTAGCAATACCTTATTTCATTTTTTTTTTTTTTTTTTTTTGTCTTTTTGAGACAGGTCTCGATATGCAGCTCAGGCTGGCCTTGAGCTCACTTTGTAGCCCAGGCTGGTCTCAAACTCACAACGATCCTCCTGCCTCAGCCTCCTGGGTGCTGGGATCACAGGCGTGCGCCACCACGCCCGGCTAAGAGTGGGAAAGTTAAAAAAAAACCTTGAAAAAAAGCAGGGCTTATTTTCTGCCCAGTGCTAGCAATGATCAATAACTGAGTGGGGGTTGGGGAGCGAGCTGGCCAGAAGGAGTGACCAAAAGAAAGCAGAATCTGGGCCCCGAGGGAGATGGGTCCTCAGGACCTGGGCAGAGGCGCGTGGCCTTGGAGACAGGCAGAGAATAAAGAGAGCTCCCACCTACTGTACGGTGCTCTAGGGGGAGTCACAAAGTACTTCAGACTGGGGAAGGACAGGGCGGGCGTACTTGAGGAAATCAGAATTTCATCCTTTCCTTCTCTTTCCTCAGCTCAAGTCCTGTACTTCCTCTTCAGCCCAGAATTCTCTTAAGGTGTCAAGTGAGGCTTTAAAAGGGCCCTGACCCCATCCCCAGGGGAGGAAATCACCCCAGAGTAGAACCAGCACATAAAATAGGGGTGTCTGTGGCTTCCAGAAGGGACCCCTTCCCTAAGACCTTTCTCTCCCCTCAAGTCCGGTACTATTGGTGCCAGGCTCCCCAGTCTGACCCAGATCTTCAAGCAACCAATGGTTTCAATTTTCCCTTCACAGTAAGTCAAATAGTTCGCTGCCTGCTGCTCTCAAGGAAGAGGGGAAGGGCTTGGTGAGGAGGAAATGAAGGGACCAACACCACCTCCTTTCCATTCTCCTTCCAGCCAACCAGACTTCCAGAGACCACTGATGGGAGGAGAGCTGGCTGCCAACTCCCCAGAGCTGGAGAGGAAAAGAACTGTAGGTGAGGGAAGAGGTGGAAAAAAATGGTTAAAACAAAGTTTTTACCTTAAGTGGTGCAGTTCCAGGACAGAAAGGAGGGTTCTGCTCTGACAGTTTGATGGAGGGGGAGGACGGCGAGGGTCACCAGAGCGTGCTGCCTCCCGGCTGTCAATGCCAGGCGTGTACAGGTTGACACAGGTTCAGCGCGAGCGTGGCCGGGCTGGCGGGTTGTGGCCACTTCCGGACTCACACCCGGGGCTGGGGGCAACGCAGCAGGGTGAGGGCAAGCAGGGCGCAGTCCTGGGCTCTCTCCAAGCGTCTTCAGGATTCCTGAGTAGCTGAGTCTCCGGCATGTGCTCCAGGCCCTGCGTACAAACTGGTTTTCAAAGGAAGTTTGTGGTTTTGTTTCTTCCTCTCTCTCTCTTTTCCATCGGGACAAAGAAAAATTCGTCAAGGACAAGCTCCCTAGAGGAGGAGGGGCCTGCCTAGCACTGGAAGATTTCCATCAAGGCTTTCTTACTTGGTCAGCAGCTTAGTGATCAGCAGAGACAGAGAGAGAAACAGGAGAGGAAAACAACAGACCCTTTCTCTTCCTTTTGCCTGCCGCTGGGAAGGACGGAGCGCTTGTGCCTCTCTGGTGAGAACAGGGAAGAGCAAGTGCCCTGCTGAGTGGGAGGAGCAGGCTGGACAGCCGCAGCTGGTTGGGTCTGGGCTTTCTCCCCGCGTGTGCCGGACAGACCTGTGCTCTAGATCCACAGAAGCACAGTCAAAGAGCACGATATTTGCGTTCTTACTCATTTAATGTAAAAAACAGTCCCACTTCTGTCCTTGTGGAGCCCACTGAGGGCTCCTTTGCAAGCCTCACCTTCTCATCAGTTACCTCCGCTCGGCTTTCAGCTTGGGGGGCAGGCAAAGCTTGTGTGAGACTGGCAGTAGGAAGCAGAGGGATAGGTTCATAGCTGAGGGAACCCTTGGTGAGAAGCGGGCCTCTGTTTACAGGGGAAGGACCAGGATGTGGGGAGTGGAAAGTGGCAGTTAAGAGAAGTCGGAACCTAAATTCTGAAGGGTCCTCCAAACTCTACCTAAACAGCTGTCACAGGATGAGACGCCAAGCAACTGTGAAGACCGAAAGGGCAGTTGGAACAATCAGGGGAGTAGAGAGCAAAATGCCAAGGTTACAACAGTCCAAGAAAGGAATGAGAAGGTCTCTGCTGAGGCCTAGAACAAAGAGACTGCAGAGTGAGAGGAAGAAGCAGCAAGGGTAGATATTAAGGAGAGCTCAAAGACTATTTTAATATTTTTCTTGTATGTGCAACTACAAAATTGGAAGCAATAGATCAGTTGGGTGAGCAGAGAATTGTAGAAAGGAAGATGGAGAGCTGTTGTGTTACGTCGTAAAGTGCCAACTAAATGTTGGGTGTCACATACGTTAAGTACTATACTTAGCCCAGTCTGAGAGAGGAAGTTCAGAAGCCACAAAAATGGGTTAATGTGACACATACGCATCTGTATGTCAAATCCCTAAGGAAATTCTCCGGTTGTTGGAATGATGTCGGGCCGCCTGGCCTACATTTCCCAGCACGCCCTGCGCCGCGCCCCTTCCACCTCCGGAGCGACGTCCCAGGAGTCTCTGGGTGCAGAACTCCGCCCCCGCCGCTGGGGCGGGGCGTGTTGGACTCCGAGAGCGCCGGGTGACGCACTTCCTCCCACGGCTGGCGGCTGAATCGCCTTGTGGCGGGTTCGAGTCCTGCCTCCTGACTCTGGCTTCTAGACCCCCGAGTTCTGGGCGGGGTGCATTCGCTCGAGAGTCTCTCCTCGACCAGGGGCGACGGCAACCCTTGGGCTTCACCATGGAGGACTACCTGCAGGGTTGTGGAGCTGCTCTGCAGGTAACGGATCTCTGACTGTAAGGAATGGAGCATGGATGGGGTCCGGGAAGGGCGAAGATGTGGGATCTGGGGAACTCGGACGGACCGTGTAGAAGGGATCACCGAGGGTTGGGGAGGGGACGTGGAGTCTGATCAGGTTTGGGGTGTGAGGAGCGAGTACTAGCTTACGAGCCAGAGAATGCTGCTCATTCTCCCCGCGTTAGGTTCGCCGCCTTCGAGATCCGCCCAGGAGCTGCGGGGAGGAGTCCTGGGTCTGGGTCCTGAGTGATTTGAGTCTTTGCCCGCTGTCGCCTGTGCCAACCGTGCCCCCGAGTACACTCGCTCCTGGCTCTCCGCCTCTGAGTTCCCGGCCCCCGTGGCCGACCTGAGCCCCTGCCGCCGAGGCCCTAGGCGGCGTGGAGGTGGCCAGGCGCGCGCCTTTCTTCCTCTGAATGGCAGTTTGTCCCTGGTGGACCGAACTCAGAAGGGGTGATCACGGTGTTTTACTTTAAATCTGTGTCTAAACCAAACATGCAGAACACGTCAGCCGTGTCTGTTGTCCCACAACCTGCATTCCTTTGCCCCCGGGTTCCCTCCCACATTACGGAAAACACCCCACCCCACCCCTCTTGGAAAGGATAAGCGCAAAGTATGTTTGGAATCAAAACCAGAAGCATGACTGAATACTTCGGAGCTTATTTTGGGTACTTTCTGAGGCAGCTGGCCTCGCCCCATGCTGACTGGTCATGCACCAGTAGGCTGTTACCTCCAGTTAGCAGTGGCAAGCGAGCCAGAGAGGCTCCAGGAGGCCGCCTGTCCCCCGGCTGTAACACTGTCCCTTCAGAAACCTAGACTGTGTTTTCCTTTTAAAATATTTTAAATGTGACTGTAATCCCAGCACTCTGGGAGGCTGAGGCAGGAGGATTGTAAGTTCAAATCCAGCCTGGGCAACTTAGTTAATGAGACTCCGTTCCCAAATAAAACAATAATGATAATAATAAAAGGACTAGGGGTGTAGCGCAGTGTAAAGGCTGTGGGCTCAATCTCCAGTACTACAAATAAATAAATACATAAAGTATTTTAAGTGCTTACAATTTATACTACACAGTAAATTCCGATTTTTGACAAATTCCAACACCCATCTCATTTCTGCAGCGTACTCAGCTGCTGGGATAAATGAGTGTTCTTATACTGAGTCTGGGTGAAGTTCAGTTTTAACATCAATTACATGAAATGTTTCCTTGTAAAAAACAAATTTTGGGAAAGCTGCTTTCTTTTTTTGAGGCAGGGTCTTGCTGTGTAGTTCAGGTTGGGCTTGGACTCACTGTGTAGCGCAGGCTGGCCTTGAACTCTCCAGGATTCTCTAGACTTGCCTCCAGAGTGCTAGGATTACAGGCGTGCACCACTACGTCCGGCCAAAAGTTGCTTTAATGCATAAGACGACTTGGAACCAATTCTTGGTTACCTCTGATTCCATCATAGGGAGCTCACTGGAGGTCTAATGTAGAATTTCTGTGATACCATTCTCAGCACCAAAGAGGTGGATTTTTCACCCCCAGCCAGGCCGTCCAAATGAGCACTCTTTTCCACCATTCGGTGAAGAGTGGTCAGAAGTCTCACCAAAAACCGTTTCTATGGCTGATCTACTCCAGTGGCTGCTCTCCATGGCGCCTCACCTACTTTGGAACAGTATATCATCTCTGCAGCGGTATGAAGCTGGAAAAAGACTTGATTTTTGGTATTTTGCTGATATCGTGACCTTTTTCTTTGCATTCATCCCCCAAAGAGCAAGATCTAGATCTTCCTTCCAAACCTGCAAACTTGTAAAAGTGACATTGTGCCCTGAAACGCTCATCACACAGTCTCATCAGGATTTGGTGAAAGGAGTAGATTAGACTCTAAGTATATCAGCAAACAGGTATGAGGACATATTGGTGGATGGAGGCCAGTGATTTAGATTGGTTTTAATTACAGAACAGAATACACCAGGCATGGTGGCATGCACTTCTTGTCTCAGCAGTCTGGGAGAGAGAGGCAGGAAGATTGCAAATTTGAGCATAACCAGGGGAATTTATTGAGACCCTTTCTCAAAAAATAAAAAAAGGCTGATGATACAGCTCACTACAGAAACTCTGAATTCAATCCCCCGTATACGCCCCCCAAAAAAAGTTTAAAAAGATACTAAGTAAAAAAGATTAAAAGAACCTTTTTCTTCTCCATCCATCCAGTTCCCCAGAGGCTACCCCATGTTTCTAATGTAAAGAGAGACAGGCTTCAAACAGACACCATTAAATTTGAATGTTTCTGTTAAATGATAGTTTATCAACATATTTATTAGGGAATTGTGAATGCTTGGTTTTTGTATAGGATAGGGACAGCTAATAATTCAGCCAAGTCTCCTGTTGATACCACATTTTTTTTGTCTTTTTGAGACAAGCACAAGAGATTGTTTATTTCCCCGTGCTCTAGAACTCTTTTCTCCTCACCTCACTTCATCTTGCTATGCAGTTCAGACTTGCCTTGAGCTCACTTTGTAGCCCAGGCTGGTCTCGAACTCACAACGATCCTCCTACCTCAGCCTCCTGAGTGCTGGGATTACAGGCATGCGCCACCAGCCCGGCTGATACCAACCTTTTAGCATGTGCTTTCAGAGAAACTTTCTGTAGCCTCTGCCACAGTGACAATAAGATGTTCCATTTAAAAGCAACCCTGGGGGGCTGGGGATTTAGCTCAACGGCAAAGCGCCTGCCTGGCAAGCGCAAGGTCGTGAGTTCGGTTCCCGGTACCGGAAAAAGACAAAAGACAAAAAAATAAATAAATAAATAAAATAAAAGCAACCCTGTCTAAGTAAATATCCTGTTCTCGGTGACTCATCTTTTACTTCTAGGAGGGTAAAGTCTTCATAGTGGGGCTGCATTCAAGTTCAGATATTCAGCCAAGGATAAAGTCCCCAGGGATCTTTGGATACTGAATTATATACACTTCTCAGGCAGGAGACAGAAATCCTGAGTGGCTGGCTGTCCTTAGAAATTTGTCAGGCTGGGAATGTAGCTCAGTGGCGCAGCACCTGTCTGTCAAGCACAAGGCCCTGAGCTCAATTCCTGGTACCAAAAAAAAAATTTGTCCTGCACCAGGTATAGTTCAAGGCTAGCCTAAGCTACACAGCTAGACCCTGTCTCAAAAAAAAAAAAAGTAGTCCTAACTGGGTGCGGTGACACATGCCTGTGATGCATAAAAAAGGGATGTAGCTCAGTGGTAGAGTGCTTTCCTAGTAAACATTCATTCAATCTCCAGTACCTTAAAAAAAAGCACAGCACGGCGGAGGAGTTTGTCTTTGGCTCTTTGTCGTCGTGCCCGCCCCCTCTTTAAGTATTTTGTTGGGTAGTTATCAGGCCATATTCAACTTCAGAAGGGAAGTGGTTTACTTTGCCAACCCTAAATTCCCTTCCTGCTGTACATCAAGGCCACAAAGAAAACATCAGGATAAGAGCCCTTTCAACTCATGGGTCTTTTTTAGGGAAAAAAAAAAAAAAAGCTTGTATTTACTTGTGGCTCTCAGATTGTGTTTCTTCCATTGGCTGCTCAGGTTTCCCTCAGGTTTCCACCCTGCTAAGTATAGCTGTATCTATCCGCCCGCCCCCCCTGCCCTGCCCTGCCCCGCCCGCCTTCCTCTGATGGTAGAAAATCAAGGCTGTTTGGCTTGTGTCTTCAGCTGACAGGATGGACTAGAGCTTAAGAGTTACACGTTTTTCCTAAATGAACAGGAGAATAATGCCTTGTACGTTGGGCACCTGTACACCCAGTTTGCCCAGGAGCCAGTTATCAGAGTGTGATCAGTAAGGGTACACCTTTCCTTTCCTAAAAGTGCTCTGGTTGAACAACAAAGTATGTAGCCACCAGATTCAGGCTACGTGAAGGATTTAGGATACACAGATAGTGACGCCCTTTAGGATAGAAGTTCAGTTCCATCCAAGAACCACAGGTGCTGGAATGGGGCTGGTTGTAGAGGAAGATTGCTTTGGCCCGGGTGGTGAGGGAGGCATCACAGAGAAAAGGACTGGGTGGGGAAGAGAAGGAGATGAAAGATAGCCAAGGTCCCGCAGCAAATAAAGAGGCAGAGCTGGGACTCGGTCCCAGTCTGTGATCTTTTCAAGTGGCAGTTCTGCTTTCAAACACAACAACAAATAGTGCAGGCGGTAGGCAGAACTGGGAATGTGCACACCATGGTTACAGGGCAGCAAACACCCCAGACAGGGTAACGGTCAGCGCTGATGGTGGGAGGGGCCGGATATGCTGCCTCTCCCTTTGTGCCCCCGCCCAAGATGTGCTGGAGTTCAGAGTCTTGCTCTTCTGTTCATTCCTGTGGTTTCTGCCAGAGCACAAGAGGTTGATTATTTCCCCGTGCTCTGGAACTCCTCCTCACCTCAGCGATGAGCTTTTATTTGGTGCCTTCTTTTGCTTTGCTTTGCCTTCTTTCCCTGCCGGGGCCTGACCAGTTGATCCAGCTGCCTCTTGCAGTGAAGCAGCGCCATTGTAAAGGAGTTTGGGGGAAAGTTCTTCCCAGGCTTCCCTGTCCCCCTTGCTCTTCCCTGTCCCCCTTGCTCTCCGCTGCGTTCACCTCTTTTTCCTCCAGAGTCGGGGCCCTGTGGCCTGTCCTGTTTGTGTAGTTCCTTTTCCAGAGCACACAGGCCCCTCAGTGCTTCAGTGACAAGTACTTGCTGGAGCCACTTAGCTCAAGTGTTTGGATGTCACTTTGCGCCACAGTCATCCAGGCAGCCCTTGGTCTCCAGGAAACAGAGAGGCCTCCTCGATAGCAGGGATAGGAGTTGCAAGTCAAAGGCCTTGCCATAGGACTAGGGTTTGGGCCACAGAATTCTCTTTGCTTTAGAAAAGAGTTTAATGTGGAGAGAGATTTGCTGATCAGGCATGGTGGCACACGCCTGTAATCCCATCACTCAGGTGGCTGAGACGGAACTGATACAAGTTTGAGGCTAGCCTGAACTATACAGTGAGACTCTGTCAAAAGACTTGTTCCCTCTCTTTGCATATATATATATATATATAATTTTTTTTTAATCAAGACAAAAAAATTACACATCCTTATGGGGTACAGTGACCATTCCAGTACATGTAGATACATAGTGCATAATGATTGCATTGATAATTGGTGTATCTGTCACTCAGGCATTTATTGTCTTTTTTGGTGTGTGTGCTATAAAAGTACACACTCTACAGCTGGCCCGGGCTCCCAGCCTGTCACGTTTTGGGTTGGAAACATTCAGAATCCTCTCTACAGGCTATTTTGAAATATTTCACTTAATTTTTGTCAGCAGTGGTTATGTTGTTCCTCCTGTGCAGCTGCACCCCAGCGCCTGTTCACTCACCCCTTGCTTTGTTTTCTCCCCAACACTCTGCCTAGGATCTGGTAACCACTCTTCTGTTCTCTACTTTTTTAGGTCGAGTTTTTAGCTTCCGTATATGAGAACACGTGGTATTTGGCTTTCTGTTCTGGATTTATTTCATATAACAATACCCTTCTCATATTGCTACAGGTGATACTTTTTTCTTTTTTTGAGATAGGGTCTGGCTGTGTGTTTGGGCTGGCCTTTGAACTTACTATGTAGCACTCTGACCTCAAACTCATGGTGATCCTTCTGCCTCAGCCTCCTGAGCACTGGGATTACAGGCATGTGCCTCTTTGCCCAGCACAAGAGACACATCTGTTCCTTTTTCTTTGGTGGTGGTGGTACTGGGAACTAAACCCATGGCCTTTACACTGATCTACATTTCAGCCCTTTTTACTTTTTTATTTTTTGGTTTTTTGAGATGGTCTTTATAGTTCAGGCTGGCCTTGAATTCACTATGTAGCCTAGGCTGGCCTTAAAGTTGCAGCAGGCCTCCAACTTGCATCAAGCCTCCTCTTGTCTCACCCCTCCTGTGGTGGCATGTGCCTCCACAGCCAGCAGTTTATTTTTTACTTTTATAAGAAGATGGTTCTAAATTGCTAAATTGCCAAATTGCCCAGGCCATGCTCAAACTTTCAATCCTCCTGTCTCAGCCTTCCAAAGTGCTGGGGTTATAGGGATGTGCCTCCACTCCCTGCTTTAAAGCTACTTGTTTGTTTGTTTTTGGTTTCTTAAGGCGGATTCTTGCTGTGTGGCCCAGGTTTGCCTCAAACTTGTGATCCTCCTGCCTCAACCTCCTGAGTGCTGGGGTCACAGATGCCCAGCTAAAGGCTAAATTTACATTTCTTTCAAGTACTGGAGATTGAACCCAGAGTCTTTGCATTAAAGTTTGTTTGTTTGTTTGTTTGTTTGTTTGTTTATTTATTTATTTATCTTTGTGAGGCAGGATCTTGCTGTGCAGTTCAGGCTGGCCTTGAACTCACTTTGTAGCCCAGGCTGGTCTCAGAACTCGCAAAGATCCTCCTGCCTCAGCCTTCCGAGTGCTGGGATTGCAGGCATGCACTACCATGCCTGGCTAACTTCTTTTTTTAAATTAGATTTTATTGGTACATTTTTATATATATAACGATCACAGTCATCACAGAGAATTTGTTACCTGTACATGATATAACTTTTGTCCCATTCCCCTAACCTCCCTTCAACCCTTCCTCCCCTCCCCATTCACAAAGCTTTGTTTCCATGTTTTCTTTTCTCGTTTTTTTCCACTTTTCCCTTTTTTCCTTTTCCTTCTCCCCTCTCCCTTGTTCTCCCAATTTGGACATTTTTCTCCTGTTTCACAGTAAAGTGAATTTCTTGCTGCTTCTTGCTGTGTTTTCCTCCCTTTCAACTGCCTTCCTACTTTGCTAAACTCTCGAACCTACCAAATCTTCCTTGATGGAAGAAGCCAGAGTTTATGAATTTTCCTGTAACCCAGTTGTTCTCAGCGGGGGTGATTTTGCCCCTCCCAAATTTAGCGAGCCCTGAGAGCCTCTCACTGAGGACTGGGGTGTTCCCACCATCTGGTGAGTAGAGTCTCAGGAGCTACCCAGTACCCTACAACACGCACAGGATGGCCCCACGACCAGGAGTTACCCAGTCCCAATAGCAAGGCTGAGCTTGAGGAATCGTGCTGTCACTAATGTGTCTCTTTGTCTTTTTCATCCTGTCCTCTTTGAGAAGCAGGCTAAGATAGAAGTTCAGAAGTAAAGTGGAAAGAGAATTATTATGCTCTAAACTAAGCCGCAGGTCTCCCTCTTCCCTGCCTGCCTGCCTCCCTTCTTTCATTTTCCTTTCCTTCTTCCCTCCCTTCCTTTCTCTTCTTTCTTCTGTTTTTTGGTTTTTTTTTTTGCTTTGTTTTTTTGTTTGTTTTTTAGTGCTACTGAAGATTGAACCCAGGACCTTTGCACTGAGCTTTTTTCTTTTTTGAAATAGGGTCTTGCTAAATTGTTCTGGCTGAACTCCTACTCTGCCTCCTGGCACAGCCTCTCAGAGATTGTAGGCATGTGCTGCTGCCTGGCTCATTCCACCTGGCAGCATGCTCATTCCTGGAATAAAAGAATAATTCTTTTTCGTTCTTTTGTTTTCTGGGAATCAAACTCAGAACCTTGCACTTGCCAGGCAGGTGCTCTGCCACCGAGCTATATCCCGGGCCCTAAGAATAATTTTTAAAGTACCAACCTCATTGGGCTGTTTTGCGCATTCAATGATTAGTTATTTAAGTATTTTCTTTTTTTTGAGACAGGGTCTTGCTGTGTAATCCGGGCTGGTCTCAAACTTGTGGTGATCCTCCCACAGGCGTGCACCATCATGCCTGGCGAATGATCATGAATGCAGACAAAAGTATTAGGATAAAAAAAATTAGAATAATGGCTGACACACTTAATACAGGTTTGAAAACAAGACCGAAACCCTGTCTGTGCCATTGTGGGCACTATAGTCTAAATGTGTTTTATTTAAAACTCTGACAGGGGGCTGGGGATTTAGCTCAGCGGCAAAAGCGCCTGCCTGGCAAGCGCAAGGTCGTGAGTTCGGTTCCCGGTACCGGAGAAAAACCAAAAAAAAAAATAATAATAAAAATAAAACTCTGACAGCTAGGGCAATGCAGGAGAGCAGGGTTAATAATAGCATCTGTGTCTCCCTCCTCAGAGTGCTTATCAGCAGCTGGACTTTTCAAAGCTTAAAAAATAAAATCTCCAGTGGCAGTAACTGTTGTTTAATCCGAGTCTGCCTCTTGCATTGTGGGAGAGGTCAGTTATGTGTATAGTTAGCAGTGAGGCTTCTTAGCGAAGGCAGGTTTTCCTCGGACAACTGGAGTAAGGGACTGAATCTTACTTTTATCTTTATTTCCAAAACCTCCTCACCTGTTCTCATGATTTCGAAGTATAAGAATTACTTTCCCTGTTTTGAAAATGGGGGCAGGCGGAGGCTTGGGTATATCAGCTACTGAAATGTCCCATTTTTGACGACCTTGAGTGCCTAAGAAGCATAAGAAATCAGATAATTCTTTACTCCTGTTCTTCTGCAAGGTAACATTTGAGGAGACAGTTGAGTAGCAAGAAAACACTTTCCCACCACCTGGGTGTGTGTGGCATGCTTAAAGCTTAGCTAGCATCCAGGGGCCCTTTTGGTAAGAAACCTCATCTGCGCAGTGAGGCCCGGAACGCATCTGCGCAGCAACTCGGAGAGGCTCACTCAGGCCATGCATGAAGCCCCGCAAGAGCGGAAGATAAGTGCAAGTGGACAGAGGCTGGGGAAGTCTTTATACCAGTTTTAAATATAAAACCTTCCTTTTCTTCCGCTCTAGGAGTCCCGGCCTGTGCACGTGGTACTAGGAAATGAAACCTGTGACTTGGACTCCATGGTATCTGCCCTGGCCTTGGCTTTTTATCTGACACAAGTGAGTGAGTACCTAGGGGCAGACTCTCAGAGTGAAAGATTTGGATTCTACATCCTGCTCTGCCACGCAGCAGCATTTAGGCTAGGGTCACTTAAATCCCGTGCTTTTGCTAATTCTTTTTTCTTTTTTTCTTTTTTCGGGTTTTTTTTTTGTGACAGGGGCTCACTATGTAGCTCAGGCTGGCCCCAAACACACAGTGATTCTCCTGCCTCAGCTTCCTGAGTGCTAGAATTACAGGTATGCACCACCACACCCTGCTTTTCCTAAGTCTTTTGGCTTCTGTTTTTTTTTTTGTCTTTTTGAGGCAGGGTCTCGCTGTGCAGTTCAGGCCAGTGGTGAGCTCACTTTGTAGCCCAAACTGGTCTCAAACTCGCAACAATCCTCCTGCCTCAGCCTCCCGAATGCTGGGATTACAGGCGTGCACCACCACACCAAGCTTATAATTTAATTTTTATTATATTTTTTATTTTTTAGTTTTTGGTATCAGGAATTGAACTCGGGACCTTGTGCTTGCCCGGCAGGCACTTGTGCTGCTGAGCTATATCCCCGGCCCTTCCTAAGTCTTGTGTCACATCCAAAATAATATTTCACAGTGTCACTGTGAGGAACAAATGAGAAAATCTGTTCCAACGGACTTGTAAACTGTAAAGCAACTTACAAACAGTGTATTAGTGAGTTCCTTCTGAGTGTTAGTCATCTCATCCAGATTAACTCCTTTTTTGTTTCTTTTCTTTTTTTTTTTTTTGAGACAGGGTCTTGCTTTGTAGTTCAGGCTGCCCTTGAACTCACTGTGTAGCCTAGGCTGGCCTCAAACTTCTGGCAGTCCTCCTGCCTCAGCCTCCTGAGTGCTGGGATTACAGGTCTGCACCACCATGCCTGGCTATTTGTCCAGGTTAACTCTTTCTTTTTTTTTTTTTTTTTTTTTTTTTGTCTTTTTGAGACAGGGTCTCCCTGTGCAGTTCAGGCTGGCCTGGAGCTCACTTTATAGCCCAAGCTGGTCTCGAACTCACAACAATCCTCCTGCCTCAGCCTCCTGAGTGCTGGGATTACAGGCCTGTACCACCACACCCAGCACCAGGTTAACTCATTTCTGCAGCCTTGTATCTAAAACCAGGACTTTGCCATTCATTGTCTTATTGATCTTCGTGTTACTCCGAAGGAGGGGAGGGCAAGAGTCATCCTTTTGAGCATGGGATGCAGCTCAGTGGTAGAACATGTGTAGGTTCTTGAGTTCAAAGCCCAGAACCCTCCCTCCAGAAAAGAGCCTCCATTTATTTCCTTCTCTCCCCAGCTCCTCATGTCAGATAGCATGCCAAAGTCCTTCAAGAACTGAAGGATCATCACCCGTTTATTTTTATTTTTTTGTTTTTGGTACTGGGAATCGAACTCACGACCTTGCTCTTTCCAGGCAGGCGCTATGCTGCTGAGCTATATCCCCAGCCCCAACCCATTTATTTTTAGACTAGATAGTTGTGGCTTTGAGGAAGGTGGTAACTTACCTCAAACATTTCTCCTTTGTTCCCAGTACTCTTGTTACTTTTATTTTTGGGAGTGGGCGAAGAACCATGGGCCTAGTGGATTCTGAGTGTGTGCTCCACCACCACTGAGCTACACCCCCAGCCCAGCCTGTCTTCCAAAACTTTGAGATACCCTCTTTTCACTCTCCTTGCAGACAACTGAAGCTGAGGAAGTCTTTATACCAGTTTTAAATATAAAACGTTCTGAGCTACCTCTGCGAGGTGACAACGTCTTCTTCCTTCAGAAGGTTCATATTCCAGAGACCCTGTTGATTTTCCGGGATGAGATTGACCTCTATGCATTGCACCAGGCTGGCCTACTCACCCTCATTCTGGTCGACCATCATGTCTTACCCAAGTAAGTAGAGAGGATTTAAATTGATAGGCATGTACCAGATAAGAGTTACTGAAATATAAACAAAGGAGGAAAGAGCTGGGTAGGGTGGTGCACACCTGTAATCCCAACGCTCAGGAGGCAGAGACAGGAGGATCGCTGTGAGTTCTAGGCCAGTCTAAACTACATAGTGAGTTCAGGGGCATCCTAAACTATACAGCAAGACCCTGTCTCAAAAAAAGATGAAAAAGAGAAAGAAAATCATGCCCAACTATTGTCATCTCGGGCTGGGTAGGTAGCTCAGCGGCATAAGCACTTGCCTAGCAAGCCTGAGGTCATGAGTTCAATTCCCAGTACAAAAAAAAAAAAAAAAAAAAAAATGCTAGATTTTGGGGCTGGGGATTTAACCCAGCAGCACAGCACCTGCCTGGCAAGCACAAGGTCATGAGTTTGATTCCCAGTACCAGAAAAAAAAAAAAAAAGCCCAACTACTGTCATCTCTCCAGTTTTATTACTGTGTTCATGTCATGAGGATATGTACTGCCATAAAAAGAAATAGAAATATGGTTAGTTCAAACTGAAAAAGAATAATTCAAAAATAGACTAGGCGTGGTGGTGTATACCTGTAATCCCAGTACCCAAAAGGCTGAGACAGTAGGATCACAGTGAATTCAAGGCCAGCCTACATAGTAAAAGCTTGTGTCAAAAAACAAAAAAAAAAAACCGACAAAAAAAATCATTTAAATCTGCCTTCAATATCATTTAGCATTTGTGGCTAGGCCTGGTAGAACATGCCTGTAATTCCAGTGGGAGACTCAGGCAGAAGGCTCAAGAATTCAAGGTCAACCGGGGCTATATTTCAAAGCCGTGTCTCAAAAAACCATAACAAAAAGATTTTTGTGGTGGATTTACTATAATAGAAACTTAAAATGCTTGCAACTCTTATTTTAATTTTTTTTTAAATTGAGATAGGTTCTCACTATGTATGTAGTTTGGGCTGCCCTTGAACTCACTATATAGCTCAGGCTGGCCTCAAACTTGCAGTGAGCCTCCTGCTTTAGCCTCCTGAGTGCTGGGGTTACAGGTGTGCACCACCACACCTGGCCCATACCTGGCTATTTTTTTTAAAGATAGCAAAGGTATTTCCTACAGAGACTCTTAGTAATTTTAGAACATGTTATCTATAACACGTGGGGTCTATAAATACCTTATTCATGTCTAGGGAATGTGCCACCATGCCTGGCTCCTTCATGCCTGTTTAACAAATGTGCATAACTATAATAATTCCACCCCTAATTTAGAATTGGAAAAAAACCTGCCAAAAAAGCAACATGAGGATGAGACTTGATTGAGACCGTCTGGCTCCTGCTAATCTTTTGTTTTTTGGTACTAGAGATGAAACCCAGGCTTCAGATGCCAGGCAGGTACAATACCCAGCTACAGCTCTATCCCCAGCTATTTTTAAAAATTTTTATTTTAAGAAAGGGGCTTATCAAATTGAATTGCCCAAGCTGGCCTCAAACTTTTGTGTTGTTTGCTTTTTGGGTTTTTTTAGAAAGGGTCTCACTATGTAGTTCAGGCTGACCTCGAATTCACTGTGTAACCCAGGCTGGCCTTGAATTTGCCGTGATCCTCTTATCTCAGCTTGTCCAGTGCTGGGGTCACAGGCGTGTGCCACCATGCCTGGGGTGGCCTCAAATTTGTAATTCTCTTGTCCTCACCTACCAAGCAGCTGGGGTTATTGCCTGTGACATCATGCCCATGCCCAGTTCTGCTTCTAATCTTTTGTTTTGTTTTGTTTTTTTCCGGTACCGGAAATCGAACTCACGACCTTGTGCTTGCCAGGCAGGCGCTGTGCCGCTGAGCTAAATCCCCAGCCCTCTGCTTCTAATCTTAAAATGTATATTTTTTTTCCTGGAGCACACGGCAGTTATACAGGAAATGGCATAAGGAAGCCTAAGCGCATTAATGCATATTGATTTACTTGTGAATGAACTTTTATTTGAAGGATAAAAATGAGACGGTCCCTGGTTTCATGAAGCTTTCTGTCAGGAAGAAGGGATGAGGCAAACTGTTGTGGTAATGGGTGTTGGTGGCAAGTGCTGTCACTGTGGGGATAGCAGGGACAGAGGGTGCAATGGTTCATCCCACCGATGGAGATTTTACAGCACCTGGAAACATTTTATAGCACTTGACCCTTGATCTCAGCCTCAACAGAGGACTGTGTTTGCTCCCTGAGTGGGGAGGGAAGGTGATTAAGAAAGGCATTCCAGGCAGAGGGAATAATTAATTAGTACAAGCAAAGCCACACAGGCATGACACAGCCTGGTGAGGTAGGGGAACTGGAATTTGTTTTGCACAGCTGGAGCATAAAGTATGTGGGAAAGTAGGACGTGAAAGATGGGCATGGTAGCACACACCAGTAATCCCAGCATTTGGGCAGCTGGGACAGGAGGATCATGAGTTTGAGTCCAGCCTGAGCTACATAGTGAGTTCAAGAACAGCCTCCTGTAATCCCAGCACTCAGCAGACTGAGATAGGAGGATCACTGTGAGCTTGAGGCCAGCCTGGGCCATAAGCAAGTTCAAGGCCAACCTGCCCTACATAGTGAGACCCTGTCAACAAAACACAACAAAAACCTGGATTGCATAGTATCTCAGAAGAAGCTAGGTATGGTAGTACATCTCTGTAGTAGATAGGCAGAAACATTTCAGGTTGTACCCCACTTACTTAGACTCTGTCTCAGATTTTTAAAAAACATTTTTTTTTTAATTTGTCTTTGAGACAGGGTCTTGTTATGCAGTTCAGGCTGGCCTTAAGCTCACTTTGTAGCCCAGGCTGTTCTCAAATTCCCAACAATCCTCCTGCCTCAGCCTCCTGAGTGCTGGGATTATAGGCATGTACCGCCATGCCTGGCTCTAAATTTTTTTCTCGAAGGCCTAGCTTCGAGTCTCTAGTTCAGAGTAAAGGGCCTGGTTTCAACCCCCACAAAGAAAAGGTGAGACTAGAGTGGTAGGGAGGCCTAGATCATGGAGTCTTTGTGGGCTCTTCTAAGGAATTTAGACTTCAGTGGAGGCAGTGGGGAGCTTGGCATCATTTCTAAATCTTTTTTTTTTTTTGGTACCGGGGTTCAAACTCATGACCTTATGCTTGCCAGGCAGGCGCTTATGCCACTGAGCTATATCCCCATCCCACTGAGCTTATATCTCCAGCAGCATCATTTCTATTCCAGGTCCTCAGGCAGCTATCTGTGAGGAATGGTTTAGGAGGGCCCTGGTTAGAAGAGGCGATTGGTTGAGAGACTGTTGAAAGATGTAAAGATTTGTTGAGAGTCCAGTCTAGTTGAGAAATTTTGAGGGCCTAGAGCAAGGCAGTCATGCAGAGCCGGAAAAGAAAGATGCAAAGTAGAAGCCCTAGGACCTGGGAGCTGTATGGAGTTTGAGTATTGAGTGGGATCTGTCATTGTTTTTGTGGTACTAGATGAATCCTGGATCTTTGCAGTAAGCTACATCTCCAGCCTCTTCTTCTTTTGGATGTTAGGGCAATCTCGGTGGATATCTATCACCCCACTAATCACCAGTTGACTTGGCTGATAGGCTGGCTAGACAGGTGTCCCCTTCCTCTCAGCTCTGTCCCTCCCGAAGCAGTGTGCTCAGTAGAAGAGGATGCCCACCACTGATCTGGGAGAATCACTGCCTTGGTTGAGGATGTACAAGTAGTGATACTGCTTTGCTAGAACCTGCAATCAAGCTCTTTTGCTTTTTTATTTAGAGACAAGGTCTCACTAAGTCGCTAAGTTGCCTGGGCTGGGTTTGAACTTGCCATCCTCCTGCCTCAAACTGCCAGGATGCTGTAATTACAGATGTGCGCCATCATGCCTGGCTATAAGAGCAATTTTATTTTATTTTATTTTATTTTTTGTCTTTTTGAGACAGGGTCTCACTATGCAGTTCAGGCTGGCCTTGAGCTCACTTTGTAGCCCAGGCTGG